ATCTAAATGCATGTTGATTCTAAATGTGTTGAGAAGGATCGGGGTTCAAAGATGGAGCTCTGTGAAACATTACAGCACAGGTATCTCTGAGATGAAGACAGTCCTTGTATGGAAATGTCAAAGGTACGAGTACAACCGGGAGAGAAGTGTGCTGGAATTACTTGCATAGTTATAGGGATTCTTAAGGAAAAGTAGAATAAAGGCCTAGGTGAAAGTAGTCAATGGTCTGAAAACAGGTAATTTCCCTCTAACATTAATCATGGTTTCATGGACACCCCCTCGAGTCGACTGGATTTGACTTGATCTCGAGTTGAAATAAAACTCTTAATTTGTTGAAAGAGTAGCATTTATATGATATTTCCGAGTAACTAGAGATCTCACATGCGTTTAGCAGGTCTTTATTACAAATACTTACGAGCAAGACTTTCCGAGATATACTTGCTCCTAAAAGGTCAAGATCACATGCTTACAGAATATTTGTTTCGTGTTAAGGTTTAACAGTATCCGCACTGCTTGCTGTATGTTTGATTTACGAGTTCAGTAATATATTCAGACGAGCTCGCGAAGCGAAATCAGCATGGTGAATTCGGGCTCCAACACCAAAATTGTGGCCCGCTCAAGGTACGTGAGAATGCGTCCTCTCAAGCACAAATTTGTGAGTTTCGTGACTTATTGATAACTTGGTATTGGATTTGAGCATGGCAATTGTGCTGTGTTATTTGGTAATTAAAATAAGAAGAGAAACCCCCCCCCCCCCTAAGCATTGTCACCTTTACTGACCTGCAGAGTCGCCAAGAGCCCGAACGGCTGTGGAGGCTGCTGCAGGTTGAGCTGCACGCTGGCTGCGAGGGTTTGTGGACTCACCCCCTCGGACTCCTTTAAGGGGGGGGTCGACGCCTGGATGTTGCCACAATCTTTATCACGGTAAAGGAGTCCTGAGGCTCCACCGCAGGGGGACAAGGACCGACAAAAACGGCCCCCGCCCTGCTCCTAGGGGGGAGGGCGCGAGGAGCAGTGGGAAATCAGAGGGGACAATGAGGCTGTGTCCAGAAGCAAATCCACTGCTCCGATTGTGCCTGGAAAGCTCTACTGCGTAGCCTGGCATGACGTGGTGAGCCATGCCCAGGTGCGAGGCACATAACCAATCTCCCACTGGAACATACGACGATTTTGGTGGAGTTTGCCAAAACAAATTCACATGCCATTATAATATACACTTATAAAGTGTCTTTCACCAGAAGATCACAAGGCACTGTAGAAAACACACGCAAGGCTCACACCAATGGAATCCAAACCCAAAAGAAAGGATTCCAAGGAATATAATAGAGCCCTGAAAAATAACTTGCGTCTTAAGGCGCGATTTGAATGAAGCGGTGGGGGGGAGGAGGGAGTCAGCGGAGTGAAAATCCCCAATAGAAGTGAATTCCACAGCCCGGGGAACGCAAAGAGTCAAAGGCCCGGTCACTCATCATCATCCTGCAGAGACACGACCGCGACACACACACACCAGGCCAGACTCGGAAGAGCAAAGTACCCTTGTAGGAACATATGGGCAAAGGAGGTCCTGAATGTATGGGGGAGCAGCATCATTGAGAGCCTTGTGGTTGAGAAGGAGAAGTATCCTGAACTCTATTCGAAACTTGACCGGTAACCAATGGACAGATGCCAACACAGGGATGGTGTGTTCAGCAAAAGGCGTGGTGCAAAGATTATGTTGGCGATCTTAACAGTTGCAGCAAACATAATGCAATGCAGTAAACATTCCACAGCATTTATGGAAAGCGCCTGCATGTAATGTATATTGATCTTCTTTCGCAACGTACGCGACCATAGTGCTTTATTATCTCTTTACATACCCGCTTTTTATCTGCAATCTTCACTTTTCTGTGTTTCTCTATCTCTTACAGCTCTGCTTGTCTTAATCATTCTCTTCATCTCCATCTGTTTACAAGCCTACTTTCACATTTATTTGCACTAAGCATTACACATTGACAAGGTAGAAAAATGTCGACAAAATACCAAAGCGCCTCCACCTCCCGTGCAGGCGACACAGAAAGTCTATTGTCGGTTATAAGAAAGACCTCCCGTGTAGCCTGCATTATATCCGACACGGGGGGTGTTGTTTGTCTACAATGTGTATTGCAAAACAACGTGTTTTACGAAACCAATTTCTCTCTGTTTTCAGCAAGCGTTGAACCGAAACTGAACCTTCCAAAACCGATTGAATCGTAACCGGTTTAATTCCTTTCTGAAACCGACTTGCAATTTCGATGTGTAATTATGATTGACAATTGTAAATGTGCGAGTGTAAATGTATCCTTCGTATAATATTTTACTACTGATGTTGTACCTTTTTTAACAAATATTATTTGGTTGTTTTATTCGAGCTTATGAATGATTGCGACAGTTATTTAATGTGCGCACCGATGTAACGTACTCTGTAGTTTTCTACCACGGCCAACCACGTTGAGCTGGACATCTGTGATGAAGCCGGTAATAGCTTATCAGGTCTTCTTTTCCAGCTTTAAAATGTCTACGGGTTGGGATAACCTGAACCGAAACCAAAAATCTAATTCATCTTCTTTGGTTCTTTCGGTAAAGTCACGGTAAAGTCACGTATTTTATTCTCATTCTACGTGACTTTACCGAAAGAACCAAAGAAGATGAATCCTTGCAGTCACGAAAGCTTTAAATCGAAATTTAACAATAAGCTAATTGTTCGATCCCTCGGTATTCAAATTGGACTGTTAATATGAAAAATACCTTAATCGGGGACCACCTGATCACTCAGCCTCGACACGACTTTTGCCGGAGGGGCAGAAACTTTCGGCGTGTTGGAGGCAACAGGAACGCCGGGACAAAAGCCACACTTAAGAGATAACACACGTACACGTAACATATCTTTAAATATGTTATCTTTTTACGAGACCGCACCGCCATATCAGGAATTGTATTAACATCGAAATATCAACACAATATTGTCTGTAGTATTCTTGAAGAGGACTTTCTAAAATTCAATGAATATTAAGACAAAGGTCCACCCGTATAGTATTAACGGACTCTTTGGGGATGTTAAGTGAGCACCTATAAAAGCGGGCACAACACACTAGGAAGTGGATGGGCCACGCCCGGCCGCCTTTATTTCCAAATCGGCGATGTTTCCACACCGCACCAGATGCTCGTTTGAGGCTGAGTCGACCTAGGGGAAGCCCAGGACCGGTTCGGATAAAATCGTCACTGGGTGTTGGTGGCCCTGAGCGGGAACTGAACTCGGGTGGCCGGTCTGGTAGCGTAGCGCGCTAACCCCTACACTACCGCTCCCCTAATGCTATATATTAATCCCACATTCCCGTACAAGATGACGAACCCGCACTGGTTGAGTAAGGTCAAATAACCGCCACGACCCACATGGCATGGGCGGGGGTGGTCGCTCATCCAGCAATGGCTTGACAACTACGCTGCACATGTAGTACAATATGCATGACTTATAAGTACACGCGTTATTTTTTTTAACTCCAGAAGAAAAATGATTGTGTCCATTTGCTATTCTGGTCCCGGAAGGTTTCGTTCCGGTTAACCGTTTGCCATAAAGAACAGGCTTAAACCGGTTCTCTCCCTCCCGTGTTATTCACAATGCGAGTAATGTTGCTTCTGACAAAACAAGTAATCGCCTTTGGCGTCAAACCTTAAACCCCTCGTCGTTCAGTGCGGCTTGAGGACAGCTCTTAGATTCGCCAAATTCGTTGCTCAAAGCTTGGATTTTGGATCGTTGGGCATTTAAACTGAATCTCAATCTCCGAATCCTGAACGTCGCCTGCTGTGACTGTGAGAAACTTCTCAGCATCACTGAGTTCTAAAACAAAAAAACAGTGGTTGTGAGGATATTTCTTTTATTTGCGTTCTTAAAACTTAATCATGTTTTTTTGTTATATTCTTGGTTCTTTCGGTAAAGTCACGTAGAAGGGAAACAATAAAATAATAAAAATATAAAACAATAAAATTCTCACGACGTTTCGATTGCAACACAAGCAATCATCTTCAGGTGTGAAAACCACAGCAAGAAAAAAAAAGTGGCGGTTTCTTTTTTAACGTTAGCACCAATGGTGCACCAATGGTGCTAACGTTAAAAAAACGCCACTTTTTTCAAAATTTCTTGCTGTGGTTTTCACACCTGATGATGATTGCCGGTGTTGCAGTCGAAACGTCGTGAGCATTTTATTTGTTTTATATATTTATTATTTTATTGTTTCCCGTCTACGTGACTTTACCGAAAGAACCAAGAATATGAATCCCTGCAGTCACGAAAGCTTTAAATCAAAATGTTTTTCGTTGTTTAATAACTCGTCGCAGCAGCTGATAAAGTGCACAAAACTGCGCGAAGAGATGGAACCAGAAACAATAAAAAGGAACCGAACAAAACGAGACAAAAAAGATTGGGGAAACGAAACCGACCGAGTCCTATTCCTCATCCATCCTGAATTCCCTCTTGGTGAGCCAATTCCTGTCAGCCGCCGGTGATGGAGAGGGTTTGCAATGTTGCCTGCGTGCTGTTACAGTGCACACTTAACTTCATCTTTCGTGTGGCTACATAACGAATAAAGATTATCCCCGGTTCGAGTACAATTTTGATCGAGTGAATCATTTCATCCGCTTTTATTTTGCTTTCAAACTTGGGCTTGAATGAATGCCCGAGCACATTGCGATACAGGGTGCTCCTGGTAATTACATTCCACCGCTATCCGACGACCAACTCCACGCGCAGGCTATTTCATCTCCGTGAAAAATGCCTCCTTGATGCACAACTTAAAACGATCACGATTTAAATCGCGCCAGCTGATTAGTATGCAGTGCGGGGGCGGTGGTGGTGTTGGCTCGTTGTGGCATTGCTATGTGTGAACACAACAACAACAAAAACTTCGCCTCCCCCCCCCCGCTTAGTAGGACATCAGCGGCTGCTGCGCAGAGGCACATCCATGACGTCAATGCCACGTCTCTGTGGCTGTCAGCGCCTTTAAAAAGGCAGCGGGAGCCACAGGGACAGCACTGCTCACCACGAGCTGGCTCGAGAGAGAATCGGCGTCAGTGGCTGGAGATAAGTAGGGGAGAGGAAAGAGACTACAGCGATAGGCGTGCAAGGCAGAGCTGGAAGGGGTCCACTCCAGAACGAATCACTTGCAACCGGCGAATAATTCAAACAGTTTAGGGAAGGGAAGAGGTCCAGGAGCTTAGATACATATCACAGCCGGGTGTGGTAAGTGTTGGGTTTTGCGCATCCTTTGTCAAACACTTTTGATTCCCCCCCCACCCCGCTCCGATAACTTTGGGCTATAATATCCACGTAAAAGTAGAACGCCGGCCAGCATTTGCAGAGATTTAGAGATGGAGAGTAGCAGCAGCAGCAGCATCGTGAAGGGCAAGCTGAGGTCCCTGGACGAGCTGATCTCGGTGCTGCATGAACTCTTCTCGGGGGACAAGGTGGACGTGGACGAGGTGAAGGCTGTGATGGCTTCATACCCGCACGATGCGACCGACTGGGAACGCTTCGCCAAGTTTGACAAGTTTCGGTAAGAAAGATCTCGCCCCATACACTGGATACAGAAACCCAAGCGGCACACATTGCACACACTCCCAGGCCCGCACCAATCCACCACCACTCACCCATATCAACATCACCATCACCATCATCAGGTATGATCAATGCACTGCTGGATGGAGGCACACACACACCCACACCGCCACCCCTCGCAAGCAATTGGATTTAGGATTTGTAGGGCGCTTGGAGCATGGGTAGTGTTGGGTAGGATTGGAGTAAAGTAAAATCTATTTCAAAGATCAAACAAGAAAAAATCATGTGTATACTGTGATGTACTTCACACCTTTTAAGTATGCTTGTATTATGCAAGAGTTAATACATGTAATGGGATTATGACTTTGATGCGAGTTGTGGGTGTAATTGCAACCTCTTGTGGACCATTTAAGAACGTGCTACATAAATTTGTGAAACTACACGTTGCAATAATGTTGTCATTCCACCATTTTTACATACATTGTATCTTATATGAGATACGTAAGTGAATATCGTATAACGCACAGGAAAGCATACAAAGCAGTAATTACACACTGCCCAATATTGATTATAATGCAAATCTGCATTGGACAAATGAATAACCCGAAGCTGAGCATTGTTGTGTGCTTAGAGCACGGCTGCATGCACACACTGCCATCTCCACGCAATAGAAAGGGCTGGAATATAAATTAACTCTCCCGCTCTAGCCAACTGCACTTTCACCAAACTGGTACCGTGTACTGTTTGCCATGGTATACTGCCTTTCGCAATAAACATAAAGCCATGAAGTGCTTGTGCCAATAACTCCGTTGAGTAAAATGTGTATTTGGATCTTTAAAAAAAATATGGTAGTGAGGTGACGTTTTCATGATTGTGTTGGGGATGTGGGAAAATGCCAGAATGACGACCCTTTCCCTAACTTGTTACTCCTGCCAAATGTAATTATTCGCAATTATGGGGTTGTTGATCGCAGTGAGATACAATACATTTTTTACATGTCTTTGTAAAATTAATGAGATAATTTGAACTAGTGCACACTGTATGCACAGTGTTTATACTTAAGGGACAATATAACATTTAATAAATTAAGATGAAATAAAATAATTGTTCAAAAGTTTGACAATGATGCCAGCGCACGATGAGCTAACTCCATAGTGGGATCTTAACGTCCACAGTGAAGCCAGATGGCACATTTTGTAACAGTTAATATACCCAGAGTATTAAGTCGGTGTGGCCTGCTGGTTTCGAGCCGCGAACCTCTGCAACAAACAGCCGGTGACATGGCCTAGCGGTAGCTTGTTTTATTTAGGTCACTGTCACAGGGGCGTAAACAAAACGTTTCAAATATAAAGAGCAGTGGTTCTTAGCCTTTACTGCAGCCTGGACCCGTTTGGTTCTCAGTCCGTTAAACAAATGATCAGGTTAATAAAGACATTATACTTAAGTGCCCGTGCTTAATGTTTCTTTTCGATGAATTACCTTCTAAAAAAAAATCTGGCCATGTCTCGCACCCCCAGAAAGGGCTTCTCGCACCCCCAGGGGGTGCTTGCACCCCAGGTTAAGAACCACTGAAATAGAGCATGTGCATATGTTTACTTATGTCCTTTGCAATGTTTAATGAAATGTGTTTTTTTTTCATATTGTCTCTGTGGCACTGTAAGTCCCACATTATTTACAAGTCTCCCTGTTGTCTGGTGTAGGTATACGAGGAACCTGGTTGATGAAGGCAATGGAAAGTTCAATCTCATGCTGCTCTGCTGGGGAGAAGGTCATGGCAGGTGAGGATTCTATATGTTTCAACAAGATAGTATTTACTCATTGAAAACTGGTACACTCTTAATTTTAAATACCTTGCTTTGAAAAGTGAATACAGCAAAGGAGCCATAATATCTATCGTAACATTAACACCAGTAAATCCTTAACCATCATTTAACAAATGGTAGACACCAAGGCTATGGTAAAATATAATCATTTACAACCGATGTATCAATCCACTTCCAAATGAAGTCCCCCTACCCAGTAAACATGCAACGTTGGGACCAACATTGATTAACATTGGTCCCAACGTCAACCATCGTTGGTCCAACGTTCGCAATCGCGCTGGTCATGAGGATTGTTTGACAAAACTTCACCACTCTTGTCATTGTGGGTTGGTGAAGGCGGGGGGACCAGTTTATGTAGCACTGATGTCAGCCGTGGTAGGGAATTAAACTCAGGTTGCTGGCGAACCACTGTGCTGCATCTCCCACCAACATATGGCAAGGGTTAAGCAAATAAATAAATAATACCAAAGTGAACATTCGATTTGCAACATCAAGTACAAATCATTTGCAGTCCAGTTAATGGAGTTTGCACAGCAACAGTGAGTAGGTCAAAGATGTTACACAGCTTGTTATTATTTCCATAAAAACAAAAAGACGCCCATTGTGCAAAATTTATTTTTCGCAAAGCAAGGAACAAGGCATATCTTCGGGAGAATGTAATTCACAAGCACCGATTGTGCAAATGCAACATTTGCCCTTAAAAAAAGCAGGCAATATCTCCTTGATTTTAATGAATATAAAAAGTGGATATGGTCGATTGTGACAATTTTGAAAAATAGTATAAGCAGTATTCTTAGCTGTGTAATATTGAATTGATCATCAGGGTCATATTTACTGATTGTTTTATGGTTTGCAACATACATCAATCTTCATTATGTTCTGCAGACTCGAAGTTTTTGGTTTCGTAATTGTTTTAAGTTATGAAATTAGAGTAACAATACTTGGTCACAGTTTTATTTGGTAGTAGAACGCTAAATTTGTCTGTTATTGCTGGCATTCAAATTACATGTTACCGCAATATTTGACTTTTTTTTTCAAATATGAGTTGAATTTTGTTTTATTTACAGCTTGTATGATGTCTGTACGTGTAAATCAACAGTGGACGCTAAAGATCTCATGACGTTATTCGCAAGAGCAGGTCATTGTGTGCCGGCGTCATTGTTCAAATTTGCCAAATTAGAAAAATTACAAATCATTCTATTGGAATCCACAAAGCAACCATTAACTTTGTGAGACTTCCCTAGGTAAACGACCATAATGATGATACTCTAATGTAATTTCATGCCGGGCTAACATTGATCTGTATGAATGTGTGAAATTTGTACTTGTTTGCTTGACCTGTTTTTATTTTCTCTTTCGTTTTGAAACTAACAAAAACACATCCCTTGTGCTCAGCTCCATCCATGACCACATGGACGCCCACTGCTTCGTGAAGATCATGCAGGGCCAGCTGAAGGAGACGATGTACGAGTGGCCGACACCCAGCACCAAGAAACAGGAGCTGATCAAGAAGTCTGAGAATCTGTACTCTGAGGATCAAGTCACATACATCAATGGTGCATTGCACACACACACACCATGACACATTATTAGAAAGGCACCGAGAAGTATTAATTTATGCTTAGGCAGATAATTCTAGGTTTCTGCTTATTAATCCAGGCACACTACTGTTCAGGTGGCCAGGACTTCCCTCCATGACTACATTTCAGCAACAATTGTATAATTTGCATGTTGACCTTCTTTTGCTCCGTACATAGCCCACGATGTTAATCCGAGGTGCAGGGAAGGACAACAAACTAACCACAAACACCATGAATAACATGCTAGAGCTTATATATTATTGATAATACAGGCATCGATTATATAATATGTTTGACCTGCGCCATCTTTGTTTAAGGCTGGCATATATATAAAAACATATATGCACACATTTAAGATTGTGGTACTCATCAATATAGTCTGGACTGGTTTTTTTTTTAATTCTACATTGAATTTGAATATGTAAACTCTCTCACGTGCGGTTGTGTGACTCGCAGACAGCATTGGACTGCACCGAGTTGAAAATGTGAGCCACTCGGAGACGGCGATCAGTCTGCACCTCTACAGCCCTCCCTTCAGCAGCTGTCATTGCTTCGATGAGCGCACAGGCCACAAGAATGAGGTCCAAATGACCTTCTACAGCAAATACGGCGAACGCACACCCTTCGTAAGTCTTTTTGCCACACATTGTGAACGGGCTTCACGTATTGAGGAAAGCAACCCCACATTTTTTTTTTAAATTGCACGTGCCATTTATCAGACCTATTGCCCCTGTGTGCAATTTGAAGCATAGGGCCACGTTTATTCGTTCCCCCTGTGGTGTACTAATTTGTACTACTGGGGTGAGAGACCGGGCCCTCAACACCACCAATATACATGGGTACACCACAGTTAGTTGATAGGCAGATGGTGTAAAGTGTGGATATTCCTACTTCTTCCAAGGCGTAAGGCCAGCATGGAAGAGTAGCCAAAGTGCAACCGAGGGGGAGCACTCAAGGGCTCCCTGTAGTGAATGCCCTTCTGCCAACAGTGGCATGAGCAATACAATTCATGGCTGCACCTTTTGTTCTTTTATTCAAGAATTAGAAATATTTTTGACAGTTTTTTTTTTTACATTTTTTTCCAATTCCATTCAAATTGTAATGTAAACTCTATACCCAAAATCACTGGCATATTACCATTCCCACATTACCTATCCATTGTGTTTTCAGATATTGTGCCTTTTCGGTTCAGGGTGCATGTTATTTATAACAATGTTGGACTGAGTTAAAAACAATTTTGCGTAGATTGCCAAACAATGTAAAACATTCTATCACTGAGCTGGATGAAAAACGGTGACATTTAAACAGGTTTACACACTTTTCTTCAATACAGCAAAATTATGTTGGACAGAAAAAGTGCGTGAAAATGTATCTAGAATACTTCCTGCAAGCAAGGTTCATGACAGTGCAAATGTTATTCATGATGTGTAAATATTTAAATGCATACAGGCAGTTGTGCAAGACTATCACAAAACATTTATTGTCTGTGAAGATTAACAATTTAAGGTGGTTGGCTGTACATTATGTACTTTTTGATGTTTTTTCGTTTGTCTACAAGCTACGTGATGCCAATGATACAAAGGTTAATTTTTGCACGAATGCATTGCCAAAGAGGCATTCAACTCATAGCAACGCTCGCATTTTTGTGCACTTGTGTCCTGTGTTATTTTGTGTCTTGTCAGTGCTTTTGTAATACTTAAATATTGGATGTTTTATTTTATCAACAGGAGGTCAAAGCCACTGCTGAGGACAACTAAGCAACCTCCATCAAGAACTAGTTCTGGCAAGAGGTGGATTGGCAAAACATCACAACGATCAGTTAATCACCAACATTGACTTGTTTTTTTTCCCAGGACTGTGTGCTCAGAACGTTTATCAAAAGGCTGAAGCTGCAATGTCACTAATTTTAAGTCACTTTTAACAAACTTTACTTTTTCATTCAATTGCAAACGTTTTGTAAACCTGTTAATGCTCCAGTGAGAGGTCACTGGAGCGCATTGCTTGAGATGTAATGATTATTGCTATTATTTCATTGTGCTTGAAGCTTTAGCATTGGTAGATACTAGCTTAATTTGACAGTAAGAAACCATGAGATACCATTTCGGCTAATAAAATGAAAATGGTCACGTTTTCTACAAGTACAGTAATGTAGGTGGTGATCATAGCACCTATTGTTAGTTTGCCCATCTGCTTATTTTATGAACAAACATCATCATTCTGTTCGGATTGACGTCAAATCACGTGAGTTACAAATATTCTGGGCCAATCGCAATGCAGAAAATGTTAGTATGTTCATACTGCAAGAGTCAAAAGTGTGACAGATGGAAGGTAGGGAAGTATGTCCTTCGTGTTATGCACTGTAGAATGTACAGCCAGAATAATTGTTTTTCATATATGCATTATACTGTTAAAGTTAAATGGTCATTGGAGTACAAAATAACAATTTTTACAATGTCAGTATCACTGATTTTAAATGATGATGTAAATTTATTTTAATGCACAATAACTGCAATATATGCAATCGATCTTCATTTGAGTTTTTTTGAAAAATGGCTTTTTAAAAATGTGTAATTCGTATTTTATCATTCAAATCTGTGGATCGTGGGGTGGGGGATGTGGAGGGTGTTAACAGGAAATATATATTTTTTTCTCTTGTTTATTTTCTTATTCAGGAGTGTATTGTGTGGAGGTTTACGTTTGAAATCTGTGTCCCATTTGTGAAGTTTATTAAACTGTCAACACTATTCTCTCTCCTTTCGCTTACGCAACTAGACCGTAACACACATCGTACGAAAACAATGATCCCGTAGCGTCATGCAGACAATTCATGTGCGTTTTGAATTTCGCTATCTGGCGAAGAAAAGCCTATTTAAGATAAGGCGGTCACAAGCAAATAAGAGAGTTTATGGGAGGTTAGGTATGGCCATGCAAGGGAGAATGTTTAAAGATAGGTGGTATCTAAGCGAGAACCCTAACAAATTCTAGATTTAAAGCTTTCGTGACTGCTAGGATCCATACTCTTTGGTTCTATTGGATAAAGTCACGTAGGTGAAAATAAAATAACAAAAAATCACGTGACTTTACCCAATAGAACCAAAGAGTATTAACCCTAACAAAATTCTCATTCATAGTGTATCGTTTTACCCTTAATTACATCACGATTAAATACATTCAATACATCACGGAAGAAAAAACTATCGTTTAGATTTTTAAACGGAGAAATTGTGAACATTATCCGCACACTAAAACACTAAATTAAAAACTATTTTAAAGTTTTCCTTCCGACTGATGATGCGACCAATGTCAAGTTATGAAATACATGTCTGCTGGGAACATCTGTGTTTTTGATATAAGTACACATTACGATGTTTTCCCACATTCATTGGCCCGTGAAGTCTTCTTCATTAATTTACCTCAATTAACGACATGGCACTGCATATACAGTAATGATGTAAATCTTGTTCAATCACTTTTCACACTTGGGTGGATTTTAGGGCTGGCCTTACAATGCATTCAATCCTTGTACTTTTTTGGTTTAAAATGTTTCTAAAATAAACTATAAAGTATCAATCGGCTGGTGAGTGTTTTGTTCCCATACGTGTGGGGTGGCTTTGTAATACTACCCATGCTCTATAACGCAGTAATTGATGACAGCATTGTCAAATTGACACGACTACAGTAGCAGAAACCCAACAATCTGCAGTGAAACGGGGGTCCTACTCACGGACCCTGCATCTGTGCTGTTCGCCTTTTGGCGTTGTTCTCTACCCTGACTGGTGAGACGAGGCCATACAGAAAGCTGTCTCTGGGGTAGATCAATACGTTTCAAAGACAATGCTGATATAATTATCAGAGCATGTTTGCATGTTTTGCCACAAGTACGTGTGGTTAATGCATTTACATTATTCCTTGCAAGAGGTATGTATTTGGTGTTTGGGAATCTTAACACCTGTTTTATTGCCAGAAGGAGTAAAACCTATTATTATTTTTCACAAATCCTATAATCCGTGGCGCACCGTGGCCTTCTGTAACCCGCAATGAAAATTTCGCTCCGGTGAGAAGTGCCAGGGACTATGGGAGGACTCAGTCGCGCGATTCCTTTAATCGCCGATTTGGGTTTCCCCATAAAATGGCGAAACTCATCCACATTTTTCCGTGGGTTGTTGGAGTGGTTCGATACATTTTCCGCTACTCCCATAATCTTTGAGTTTTTCGTGGATTATTGGAGTCGTGCGACTAAAAACTCCAAATATCCGCGATTTTTTTTACGTGGATTTTGGGCGTAAAATCGCGGTGCTGTGGATTACAGGGTCCGCAAGACACTCCCCGCATATCACCGTATATTTTTGGAATAATACTGTATTGAAAAGTGTAGGGGCAAGCACACACTCCTGCCTCACCCCAGCAGCGTGTCCACCGCACTTCACAACACTCTCAGTGCCTGAATTTAATCAAAGTCACAGGATCCCCTTGTCAAAGTGTCCACCGATGCATCACATTGAATGCCTTATTCAGATCAACAGGCTGAGAGCAGCTTTTGCCAAAACCCCCATGGCACTTGAAAAGGACATGAAGTGCTAATATTTGATTACATTCTAACTTATGGGATATGAAGCCGGACCGTTCAAATCGCCGCGTTAACCGCAGATGATCATGGAACCTTGCCAGAAGCAAACGGGCCAGAACATTGGCATGGACTGAGGGCAGAATAACACCACCACCACGGTAGTTGGTGCTGTCCTGCTGGACATGCTTCATGCTTGCTTTTCCAGATAGGGACCACAAGGCCCCATGTCCAGTCACTCAGGTTGATACGAGACTCCCGGATGACACACAGAACCTCATATAACCCGACAATCGTGTCGTTATCTCCTCCTGAGTGGTGGAACATCACTTGTGGGTCAGCAGTCGTGAATACTTGCCAAGCCTATTGAATTAGTAGGCTGGGCGCCACGGTGGCGAGATGTTAACTACCTCGCCTTGCATGCAGGAGGTTCGTGGGTTCGATCCCGATCCTTGATGCCTGTATATTTGGAGTTTGCATGTTCTCCCCATGGTCGCGTTAATTTTCTCTCCACATTTAGAAACGCGCGTTTCGAGTGTTTGGCTGCTATAATTTCCCACGTGATGAGAAGCAACTTCGTTGAGCGATCATTTGTGGCCAGGTCGATTCTGAAAAAGAGCTACGCATAGCTATGTGGGCGTTATCTGGTAAAATTAGTTTAATCGCAAACAAATAGTTTAAAATAGACTGACAAAGCTCATCACACCACTTCATGTGACGTGCTTTGAGGGTTAAATAAATGGCAGCCTACAGTTTAAAGGGGAAGGGTGGGAAAATATGCCACTGGCATCCAGCCGAGAAACAAGTTAATGTACAAACAGCTGCTCGACGTGATGTACCGAATGGTCTTGCATTTCGTAGGGATCAGGCAAGGGCCGACCGTCAGCCACCCTTAATCGGACGTTTCCCAAAGCATGAGCGTCAGAGGACGCTGGCAGCAGGATAAACAGGACTAAGGCCCCCTGAGCAAAGGTGGCGAGGTGCACCAACCTTTAAAAAAACACACACTTTTATTTCACCACCCCAACTCCCCCATTAATAAAATGGCTGTTCTAAACAAATGTATTAAATAAACTTTGATCTACTGTAGTGTTGCAATCCAGATTGGCCATGTAAACACGTGTGTTGCGCATTATGTATGAGACAAAGATTGTGATTTAAAAAATGTGATTGCAAGCAAATTTCACTTGCTCCAAATGAACTATGATGATAGCAAATTCTTTTTGTTCTGAATAAGTCTATTCTTGCACTCCACGTAGAAAAATTAAGCATACAGTGAGGGAAAAAAGTATTTGATCCCCTGCTGATTTTGTACGTTTGCCCACTGACAAAGAAATGATCAGTCTATAATTTTAATGGAAGATTTATTTGAACAGTGAGAGACAGAATAACAACAACAAAATCCAGAAAAACGCATGTAAAAAATGTTATGAATTGATTTGTATTTTAATGAGGGAAATAAGCATTTGACCCCTCTGCAAAACATGACTTAGTACTTGGTGGAAAAACCATTGTTAGCAATCACAGAGGTCAGACGTTTCTTGTAGTTGGCCACCAGGTTTGCACACATCTCAGGAGGGATTTTGTCCCACTCCTCTTTGCAGATCTTCTCCAAGTCATTAAGGTTTCGAGGCTGACGTTTGGCAACTCGAACCTTCAGCTCCCTCGACAGATTTTCTATGGGATTAAGGTCTGGAGACTGGCTAGGCCACTCCAGGACCTTAATGTGCTTCTTCTTGAGCCACTCCTTTGTTACCTTGGCCGTGTGTTTTGGGTTATTGTCATGCTGGAATACCCATCCACGACCCATTTTCAATGCCCTGACTGAGGGAAGGAGGTTCTCACCCAAGATTTGACGGTACATGGCCCCGTCCATCGTCCCTTTGATGCGGTGAAGTTGTCCTGTCCCCTCAGCAGAAAAACACCCCCAAAGCATGTTTCCACCTCCCTGTTTGACGGTGGGGATGGTGTTCTTGGGGTCATAGGCAGCATTCCTCCTCCTCCAAACACGGCGAGTTGAGTTGATGGCAAAGAGCTTCATTTTGGTCTCATCTGACCACAACATTTTCACCCAGTTGTCCTCTGAATCATTCAGATGTTCATTGGCAATCTTCAGATGGGCATGTACATGTGCTTTCTTGAGCAGGGGGACCTTGCGGGTGCTGCAGGATTTCAGTCCTTCACGGCGTAGTGTGTTACCAATTGTTTTCTTGGTGACTATGGTCCCAGCTGCCTTGAGATCATTGACAAGATCCTCCCGTGTAGTTCTGGGCTGATTCCTCACCGTTCTCATGATCATTGCAACTCCACGAGGTGAGATCTTGCATGGAGCCCCAGGCCGAGGGAGATTGACAGTTCTTTTGTGTTTCTTCCATTTGCGAATAATCGCACCAACTGTTGTCACCTTCTCACCAAGCTGCTTGGCAATGGTCTTGTAGCCCATTCCAGCCTTGTGTAGGTCTACAATCTTGTCCCTGACATCCTTAGAGAGCTCTTTGGTGTATTTTATACAGTTAACAAGCTGAGATTATGAACACTCCCTTTAAGAGTGTGCTCCTAATCTCAGCTCGTTACCTGTATAAAAGACACCTGGGAGCAAGAAATCTTTCTGATTAAGGGGGGGTGAAATACTTATTTCCCTCATTAAAATGCACATCAATTTATAACATTTTTGACATGCGTTTTTCTGTATTTTTTTGTTGTTATTCTGTCTCTCACTGTTCAAATAAACCTATCATTAAAATTATAGACTGATCATTTCTTTGTCAGTGGGCAAACGTACAAAATCAGCAGGGGATCAAATACTTTTTCCCTCACTGTATATATATTTTTTTAATAAAAAACCGTCGGCCCCACGGCATTGTGTGTGTGGGGGTGCATAATTTCAGCAGCACTGATTCAGTATAAACACACTGAACCGGTTTCGACATACAGGTTATCATCAGCAGTCTGGCCTGTCTGAGTCAATGGTGATGAACGACCAGATGTTATAGGCAAGGACCCTCTCTTTGAGATATGGGTCGTAGTTCGCCGCAACATTTTACAACACGTAACACTAAGCTAAATCTTTAGTGTCACTGTGGAGATTATAGGTAGTAAAATTTACAAATTATTGAATGAGATGAAACTACATTGCATCATTTCCAGCTTATTCGCAGACTCCACCTGCCTGTGAATCATAGCAGCTGCGTGATAATCTAGTGCTCTAAGATTGGTGTTCATGTTCTAGTTATGATGATTATTAACTGAAGTCTGAACGTATTTCAATGGAGCCTGTCTAGGAACATAGTAGTTAGATCCGATCAGTAAGGAACAACTAAAATGAAATACAACATGAGTTACCCTTAAATTCCTTTAAAATTTGATGATCGTCTTTGCAGTGCATAATTAATTATTTCACAAATATTTTAAAGCTATGGTAGTGAAAATCGAAAATCTGGAGCCATATAAAAATGCATCACAAAGGTCCATGTCGTTATGTGACAGCTCATTAAGGAGATGGTGAATTTCAAGAGCCATGTATTTATCTTTTTTTTTTTTACCAGAAGCGACCTGGACACAAATGATAGCTCAACGAAGTGGCTTATCATGTGGACATTTATAGCAGCCATCCATAAATATAGGTTTTTTGGGTTAGATCGCGTAAATATAAATGTGTCGTTAAACCCACCACCACCCAACACAACCAATTAGTAAGGTTTACACCTAAACAGAACGTGCCCAATTCGTCACTCGTGTAAGGGATGTCAGGGGTATGTATTCCCGGCAAAAGGAGGGGGGCAGTGGAAGGGGGAGGAGAGAGAGGAGGGGGGCTGAGTGGGACAGGGAAATTGCTGGCGGGGAACAGACGGAGAGGGCTGCGGGCGAGGGTGGACTGGGGGAAGAAATGGAGGACGGACCCCCTGCAACCTCGTGTCGGCTCTACTTTACACTCGTACAGCAACACCGGTGTGTTGGCACGTTCTGGTCACGTGACAAATCTTACTAATTGGCTG